AAAAAAAAACGAAATCTTTGACTGTTTTAATATTTCTAAGGCATCAATCATAGGCACCGAGTTCATATTCACTGTACCCTTAGGAATTATTGAGAAATCCCTTCTAAATGCATCTTCAATCCGAAAAGAACAACGTTCTGATGATGAAAAAGCTTTAGACTGCATCTTCTCTGATGGTGTTTTTAGTTTCGTCATGAGATGGCCTCGCTCTTTCTATTGCCATATCATCTTCCAAATCCAAATCAACTGCATTCAAGTTTTCCAAGATTTGGCGATCCTCTTTGGGGAGTTCTTCCTCTTCAACTTCAAGCGTGACCTGAGCTATGATCGCACCGGATCTATTCTTTATTACACATACATAAGTACCATTGTCTTTGGCCAAATAATTCTGAAATCCATCCGCAAACGCTTACATTTAATCAGATGCCGTCCTCATAACTGAGTATAAATCATTTGATGGATCTCAATCAGAATCAATAATGAACCGCAACTTTTACAGTTATCAGTGCTAGCATTTTCACTTCACTCATACGGGATGTGAATGAACTACCAGCTGGTCCAGCTAAAATCTGCCAGATTTCTAGGGAATGAATACGAGTTTAATCCAAACTGCAAGAGTGCATTATCTCTAAAGTGTGAAATCTACTGATTGATGCAACTGATAACAATGTTTATTCTAAATAATACCATCACTATTGATACTATTACAGGCACTATCACTGCATCATATCAAAATGCTGCATTGAGTTCGAGGAGGAGGAGTAAGATTGTGAGATCTAATTAGGTGAAGAATACAGAACACAATACGTATGGATAATATAGAATGCAACACCATTTATCATGTCATACAAGCGAAATCAACAGAATGATTCGACAACCTTAATGAGCAATTGAGCTGTAAAGAAATCTCTCTCTTCATTGAGTAATTCTTGCGTGAAGTGATCGCTGTTGAACACTGGATCACCATTTGGAGATCTCCAGTGCACCTGAAACTCATCTATTTCTTCA